GTGACAGGGACTGTGGCTAAGATGTCAAGAAAAACCCCACCACGTTTCTGGCAGGAGGAAGCAGGGAAATGAACCCAGGCAGCCAGAGCTGCCCCTGGAGGGTGAAGGGGAAACTCAGAGGGGAGACGGGAGAGGATCTCCTAATTCTGCACATACCTATCACGCGTGTCTTAGCATGATCTGGAACCACGCATACACAGGGCAGACTCGCAGGCTAGCAAAGGCTTAAATAATTGAAATTTCAACCACCATAAGGTAAGGCAGAGCTTACAGCGTGAGTCTAACCAGGCTAATTGCTAACTAAAACAAAAACGTCAAACATTCTTCAATAGAATACAATAAAACCCAGAGTCAACACAATATAATATTCACAATGTCTAGGGTATAATTCAAAATCACTTGATATACAAAGAACAAAAAGATATGATCCATTAACAATCAATAGATGTCAACCCCTAAGGCCCAATATATTACATATATTGGAATTGTCAGACAAGAACTTTATTTTTTTATTTTTATTTTTTTTTGAGACAGAGTCTCACTCTGTTGCCTAGCCTAAATTGCCATGGTGTCAGCCTAGCTCACAGCAACCTCAAACTCCTAGACTCAAGCAATCCTCCTGCCTCAGCCTCCCGAGTAGCTGGGACTACAGGCATGTGCCACCATGCCCGGCTAATTTGTTCTATTTTTTGGTAGAGATGGTGTCTTGCTCTTGCTCAGGCTGGTGTTGAACTCCTGAGTTCAAACAATCCATCTGCCTCGGCCTCCCAGAGGGCTAGGATTACAGGCATGAGCCACCGTGCCCAGCCCATACAAGAACTTTAAAACAGCTATTATAATTATGCAAAATGAGGTGAAGGAGACTATACTAAAAATAAATGAAATAATGGCAAATCTCAATAAACAGTAAAAAATATAAAAATGACTCAACCAAAAGGAAATTTTTAACTGTAATATGACATATTTTTTAAAAATCAAATAGTCCAAAAGAAAGCAAGAAGGGGGACATGGAAGAATAAAAAATGGAGGCGACAAATGGAAAACAAATAATAACATGGTAGATCTAAATCCAACCATGTCAATAATTACACTAAATATGAATAGCATAAACATTTCAATTAAAAGGAAAGGGTTGTCAGAATAAGACAGCAAGACTCAACTCTATGCCTATCAGAAATGCACTTTAAGCATAAACGCGGGCTGGCCGGGTGCAGTGGCTCTGTGTCCCCAGCACTTCGAGAGGCCCAGGCTAGGTCACAAACAGGGACGCGGCTCGCTCCTGGTTCTCCCTGTCAAAACCTCTGGCAGCCGTCCACCATGTTGTACGGAAGCCCAGGCACCACACGCTCAGGCGTTGTCGCTGACGGCCCCAGCTAAAGCCAGCGGTGGAGAACCAGGCTTGGCTGGGCCCTGGCCTCCACGTGGAAAAATCAGACATCCGCGTCCTTTCTTTTCTCTCAACACCACTGGCTCAAAAAGGAGGTGGCAGTGGGGCTGAGGGATTCTCTCCTGCACGGAGACCCTGGGCAGTTCATCCTGTCGGATGGAGTAGTCCAGGAGCCCAGCTCTGTCTTGTCACCTCACGCTGCTAGGGAAGGGCCTCCAGGACCCGGCCTCCGCCCCACGGCCCAGGAATGGCAGCGTGATGTGCATGCCCAGAATTCCCCATGGCAACGGACGCTCAGACTCTCTGCTCTGTCCTGGTTTCAGAGACCTCTGTCCTGGGTGGGACTGTTGTCTGAGGGGACATGCATGCACCAAGCAGGCTACCACACTGACGGCCTCCAGGGCCACGTGAGACTTGGAATCTAATTCTGTGACTCTGGATAGGACAGGTGGACCCCTGGGGTGCAGACACACCTGGGAGGGTCCTTGTGTGGGTTTGCTGTATGTGTCATTGCGTAGGCCATGCCACCCCGTGGTGGGTCAGACCTTGTTCTAGAGGTCACTGTGAAGGCATTTTTCAGATGAGATTAACATTAAAATCAGTGGGCCTTGGGTAGAGCAGACGTCCCGCCAGGATGTGGCGAGGGGTGGGGGCGTCGTGCAATCATCAGTGGCCTTAACAGAGAAAAACCGAGGTCCCCCAACGGGAAGGGTTCTGCCAGCGACCTTCAGACTCTGCTCCATCAGATCTTCCTGGGTCTTCACGCACACGCGTGCACACACGCGTGCACACACGCGCACACACACACATGCACACGCACGCACATACACACACGCCCCCCCCATCAGTTCTGTTTCCCTGGAGAACCCCAACTAACACGGGGTCTCCCAGGGCCGACTCTGGAGCCACTCCCAGGCCCCGGGCTGGCTGGGCAGAGGACTCCGGGGCACATGGGCCAGAGGGTGGGAACAAACCCAGCCTGAAGCCAACCGAAGAGGCCGTTCTTGCCAAGTCCAGTGGGCGAGGGAGGTCTGGGGACAGAGGGGAAGGGATTTGGTGCCTGCATGCCCAGGCCTGGCTCCGGCCTTGCCTGAGGAGGTGTCCACCAGGGAGCTGCTGGGGAGAAGGACCGGTCCCCAGGGCCGGGACCTTGGGATGGCCTCACCCTGGCTTGTTGGGGGGAATCTTAACGTGTGCCTTTGGTTTTTCACTGATGGCCATGTCACACAGGGCCACGCCTGGCTGCAGGGACTAGGAAGCCATTGCATAGGTGGCTTCCTTGCCTACCCAGGCTGGCAGCCCAGGGCAGGTGTGGCGGCTCCGCCTGGCCACCGCTGGTCTGGCGTCCTCCTGCCTCTCTGCCTCACCATCCTTGCCATGTGACCTTTGTCCTTGTGGTTGCCGATGGCTGCTGTCCCTCAGGCGTCATTCCAGCCTTCCCTGCAGAGAGGCATGGGAGGAGCGAGGAGCGGAGCTGGATGCCGCTGCAAGCCCGGCCCCAGGCAGCCCGCAGACGTCTGCATTCTGCCCGCCAGAGCTGAGCCTCGCCCGACCGCAGGGGAAACCGGGAGGCAGACGGCGTTAGCTGGTCACGGTGCCATCCTGAGCGTTGATGTCGTCTCAGTAGGAAGAGGAGCATCGGGTGGGCGACGAGGACTGTCTGCCTCAGTTTCCCACATGGATGTGATTAGGTGATGAGGAAGGGGGGCTTTGCACACGGCACAGAATACCTTCCCAGTCCCCTGCCGGCGGTTCCCTTTCCCTGGAAGCTGTCAGGCGTGGCTCCCCTCCCCTCGCTGCCCCAGGCCCTGCCAGCGCCATTTCCCCCAGTTCCCTTCTTATTCCTCACTTGTCCTTCCTGCTCGGGACCCAGACCGGCTCCAGCCCTGGCTCTGCACCCGCCCTGCGTGAGGCCTCCCTGGTCCTGGACAATAGCAGGCGCGGGAGGGAGTGGCCCCCAGCGTCAGAGGCCTGGCTCACACGCGGTGTCTGTGAGGTCGTAAGGGGCGGCGGCTATGGCTGGGGCGGGGGCGAGGGCTGTCGGCGGGGCTGTCGGCCCTCGGTCGGAGGCCCTGCGGGGCTCAGGGGGGCCTGGGGGGCCGGAGCAGGTCAGGGGAGGCCGTCCAGGAGGTGGAGGCAGAGGGCACGTGTGGGCTTCGTGTGGCTGCACGAGGGTCCTGATCTGCACCCCACGGACCACCCTGTGTGCCTGGGAGGTGGGCTTTCCACACCCAGCTGAACTGCATCCACCAAAGGCGTTTAATTTGTTTCTTCCTTTCTTCTCTCCAAAAAAAAAAGGGAAGTGCCCTACAAAATCACACAGTTAAAACCAATTTGATCTTTTCTTCTTTCCTTCTTTCATTTTTTTCTTCGTCTTGTCTTCTCTCCCTTCTGCCCTCCCTCCCTTCTGCCTTTCCCTCTTTTCTTCCTTCCTTCCATCCATCCACCCATCAACTATCCATCCATAATCCATCTACTCATTCATCCGTCAGCCATCGTCCTCCCACCCATACACCCACCTGGCCTTCCCTTTCCCTCCTTCCTTGTCATGTGGCCCCTGACGCCCAGCCCCTCGGGCTCTACCCAGCCAGCCTTGGGTTGAGGACGCAGCCACCCAGCTCCGGGGCAGAAACGCCCCCGTGTTAGGTGAAGCCCGCCCCCCATGCTCTGGGCTCTGGCCTGGACAACCATCCTTTGCAGGGAGGGCCCCAAATTCCCCACTGCTGGCGTCGGGAGCATCTCCCAGGCGGGCAATCCCATTCCTCCCAGAGCCAGGCTGCAGCCCCCACGTGGCTGTGCTCAGAAGGCTCTGATGGGGGCCTTCTAGGGACACTTCCCCCCCAAAACAGTCCACACTGACACCAGTTCCGTTACCAACCTCTACCTCATTTCCTGACAAATCGTCCAGCCCCAAACAAAACTGTCTTATCTAGCTCCATCTCAGAGAGGCCCCTCAACCCGGGCATCAGCAGATCTTTCAGGAAATCACCTATTGTGGCTAAAATGTGCCCTCCGAGGCATGTTTGGAGCCCCAGGAAGCAACAGCCGGGATGCCTGGAAACGGGTACACAGAGCAGGCCCTCCCGGCCCCACGGCACTGGCCAGGGGCTCCTTTCCAGGAGGAAGTTGCAAATGAACAACTTTCCAGCTCGGTTTTTACCTCATGCTCCAGCTGCTCAGCTGTCCCGTGGGGGCCCAAGTGGAAGTCCCCTCATCAGACCCCCAAGGATTGGGGGCCCCTCCCTCGGGACTAAGTGGCCTTGACCATGGGGCCTGGGCACCCAGGCTTGGAACTGCAGGGCGGTGGGGCCCGGAGGGAAGGGGGAGGCAGCTGCGGTGGAGCCGTGTCCCCACCCCCCGCACCCCCACACCCCCACCCCGCTGCAGAGCGGCCTGGCCACAGCAGCCCGCAGGGAGGCAGGGGGCAAGGCGGAGGCAGCCCCTGCACGGGAGGTGGGCGGCCGCCGCCAGCATTCCCCAGTCCTCACCTGCCCACCCGCCCGCAGCAGGGCTGAGCACATCCACCCTGGATCTCGGAGTGAAAGAAAATAAATAAATAAGACAAAAAAGGATCACGCCAGATGCCAAAAATGAAGATAACACGGGAGGAAGTTTATTTTGATGAGGAAATCCCTAAACGCTGCCGAAACTATGCTTGGAATGGCTAATTAGTGCTTGGGGGGCTTTGGAGGAAGCGCTATCTCGCAGCGGGCAGGCCAGGTTTCCCTGCCACTTAGCGCTTATCTGCAGGAAACGTCGCTTCTGAATCCGCGGCAGCGCCCAGAGCACGGCCGTGACTCACGCCCGGGTGGCCGGACGAGCCTCCGAGGTGGGGACACAGCGGCAGCTCAGGGCGGCCCTCCCAGGGCGGCGGCCCCCGGTTCTGTGCACGGGCTGGGTGGCCACGGGCTCCCAGAGCTGCGGGAAGAGAAAGTTCCACTGGGTTCGCCTCAGTGTCCCCGGAGCACACGGGCCAGGCTCTGCACGGGCACTGGGCCTGCCGGGACTCAGGCTCCAAACCTGCGCACGGTTTTCCTGAAGAAGGGGACGGGAGCCCCCAGGGAGGGAGAGCTAGCTAGCGCCTCCGGGGCCCCGGTGACACTTGGCTGTGGGCTGACCACAAGCGTGCGGCCAGTCGGGGCGTCCAGATGCTCCCTGCGCCTTGGAAACAGACGTTTTCCTGCAGGGCTCGTGGCGGAGCCCTGGACACAGGAAGACAGGCCTATTTTTAGTGGCGAGCCTTTGGAGGTAGGGCTCTGCTGACCCCATCCCGTCTTGGCCCCTGACTCCGGCAGGAAGAGCTGTCGGAAACGCCTGACTCTCGGAGGCTGCAGGATTCTGCCTAATTCCGGCCCCGCTGGCAGGCAGGGTGGGGGACGGAGCCTCAGCCAACCCCGAACGGAGCCAGGCCTGGAACGGGGACGCACGATCCGCATGTTGGCAACTCGGGGAGGCTGCGGGACGGTGCCTGTGCTGGCCATTGGTGGGCGCACCGAGTGACCCGTCGTGCCAGGAACATTGTGTTGGGCCGAGAGTGTGACATCACAGGCTCTGCTCCTCCCAAGGGACACAAGCTGGCTTTAGACTGGGGACAGCCCATCTCTCAATGTCCACAGTGACACAAGGGACTCAGGGGCGCTACCCAGGCCTTCTAGGGCTCAACAAAAGCATAGCAGAGGGCGGCTGGGCCTTTCGCCACTGAGCAGAGCGAGCAGTTCCTGCTCTGCAGGGCATGGCTGCAGCCCTGAGCTCTCTGTCTGCTTCCCCAGAGGCTCAGCCCACCCTTCCGGAAAGGTGCAGCCAGCACCGGCCACTGGCCACTTGCCCGTCGGCCAGCAGCCCCACACCTGGGTGCGTGCCAGCCAGCCACATAAGGTTGCATTTTTGCAAGCGACCATCCACACATGACACAGCTTCCACGTCCTCCCCAGTCTTAGCCTCCCACCCCCTCCACCCCCTCCTCCGCACACTCCACCCCCAAACCTTGGAAGGCAAGGGCAAAAGACGCGGGTCGAGATGGGGGTGGAAACCACAAGGGTTGGGGGAAGATGAGGAAGAATTTTTCACTTCCCCACCTTCTGGGTTCTATGTTTAGAATTTCCACTTTTCGCTCGCAAAGATTTTCCTTTTTCTGATGGAACGACCCTCTGCAGATCCAGCAGAAGTCCTGGGCTCTGTGTTTCCCCACACCCTGCCTCCCAAATCCAAGTTTCCTCCTTAAACGATGAACCTCTTCTAACCCGACAAGGGATCGTTCTTGGTCACCTCCTTCCACGCTGCACTGGTTTCCGAGATCCGGTGCTCAGGGGCACTGGACGCCGTTGGCTGTCCCCACGGGGCACAGCTGACGCCGGAAGGGACTGCAAATCTGCGGAGTCAGAGGATTCTCTGTGGGAGGACGAGGGAGAAGAGTGTGGAGGTTCAAACCTTGGGGTGTTTGGAAGACCCTCCAAATGTCGGGTCCTCCCCTGGCCTCAGTGACACCCTGTCCTTGCCCCACGGATGGGCAGTGGGAATAAACTTCTCATCCCCCGCTGGGAAAAGCAGAGACCACGACGGTGGGGGAAGGGCAGGTGGATACTTGCTGCTCGATACCTTCTTATAGGTGGGGAACCACAGGCCAGGAAGGGGGGGCTGCCAAGGGTCACAAAGCCAGTTGGTGGCAAAGGAGGGGCCCAGAAATGAGGTCTTCCAGCTTGGGAGGTTGAAGACTGAAGACCATTTATAGATATTTCCAGCTCTCTGGTTTCTGGACAAATAGTAGGATTGTTCTTGTCCCCCTTGAAGTCAGATGTAGCCACATGACTTGCTTGACCAGTGAGTGGAAGGGACTTGGGTCCCCTGTGAGCAGAAGTTTTGAGAGCCAGCCCCTGAGTCTGGTCTCCGTGGCGCTAGAAGCCTGGGTGGACACTGATCCTCCACCTGCCTGGGTCCCTGGAGCAGTCTCCACTCCCACTTAGATGTGTGGCACCAGAGGAAAGCAAATCTTTGTGATTTTAAGCCAAGGCTCAGCAAATGTCAGCTTGTGGGCCAAATCTGGCTCACTAACTATTTTTGTCAATAAAGTTTTATCGGCACACAGCCCATTTGTTTATGTCCTGTCTGCAGCTGCTTTTGTGCTACAATGACAGAGCTGAGGAGTCATGACAGAGGCTGAACGGCCTGCAAAGCTTAAAATATATATATGTGGCCTTTTACAGAGAAAGTCTGCTGGCCCTGCGTCCAGCCATTTGGATTTAGGGGACTGTTTGTTACTGCAGCATGACCAAGTCCATTCTGACGAATACACTTCCTAACTGTGCTCACAATTTCTGAATGCCACGTCACGTGCTCTCATGGTTTAAGACACCCTACACCTGCGAGGCACTGAAAGCGTTTCAGAGCCGTCTCCACAGGCTGGTTGTGGAGGCTCCTGGCGGCCACCCCTCTGCACATGGGGAAAAAAAAGGCCCAGGGGGTGAGCAACCAGTGCAAACTCACCTAGGATCTGACCCCACATTCAAATGGGTCACCAAGCATCTGTGAGTTGTATCTGCATTGCCAAAGCCAGCGTGCAGGGGCCAGGCAAGGAGGCCGTGGGCCTTTCCACCTCCAACCCCTCCAGTTTGAGAGAACAGATGAAAAGAGAAGCCCGTTCAGCCCGGAGCAGAAGTGAGAAATGGGATCTAGCTTCCGCACGTGGCCACCTCCTCCGTCTGCTTCCTTTGTTTGTGCTTGGCGGCCCCCACCTCCTGGGCTCACGTGGCCTGGGGAGGGCCCAGCCGCGGAGGGCAGCCCTCACCCTGCCTGTCCCCAGCCTCAGTTTCCTGTCCCTGCAGGTGCACCTCCTCCCTGCATGGGTGCCACCGAGCCAACTGGGGTGGGCCCAGGGCGGGGAGGCTGCTGGGGTCCCGCCTTTGAGAGGGGTGTGGCTGCTCAGGAGACCCACCCTCCGCCTTCCCTGCAGGCCTGTCTTCCTGGGCTCCCCTCTCCCGGGTTTCATACCTCGCATTCCCCAGCATGGTTCCGACAGGCCCGAGAGTGGGGAGTCCTCGAGGCCCGGAAAGGTGGCCGAAAGTTTGAACAGCTGCAGCGCCTGCCCGCCCACTGTCTCCAGCCGCATGCTTTTTGCTCTTTTTTTGCCCAGCCTCTTAGGCTTATGTAACACACTTGGAAGTCAAAAAGCCAACGCTCATTATTGACAGCCCAGGAGGGGTTTGCGAAACACTTGCTGTGAAGAAATCTTTCCATTGACAAAATTCCCTGCCTGCTCACACTCTCAGCGGCCTTGTTGCTGTGTCATTGGGGGTGACGGTGGCTGCAGACAGGGGTGTCCTCAGAGCTCCCTGTGGCTCTGTGTCATTTGAGCCTCTCTTGTCTCTGTGTCACTGCTCCCTTCACCACCAACAACCGATGCTGGTGACTAAGCTCCCGCCACTCACCAGGCCCTGAGCGGGGCCGCTGCGGTGACTGAGCTGCTCTTATACCCATTTTACAGGGAGGACACTGAGGCTCAGAGAGGAGGCCAGGTGGTGGGGTCAGGGCCCAGCCAGCATGCGCCCTGGGGCAGATGCAAAAGCGAATCCCCCCCTCTCCCTGCAGGCACTGAAGGCCCCCCCAACCAAGACAACCCTGTGCATGAGTGTGTTTTTTAAGCCACTTGCTGGACCACAAGAGGAAGTGAGCGGCCCATCCTGCAGATGGGCGGAGATGAGGCTGGCCTTGCGCTCGGCATTTCCCTTTTCAGAGAGTGGGCGTGCAGGATTCTGGGCCTTCCTTGGCCATGCTGTCAGGGGGCCCCAGGAATCTGCGGGTCCAAGGGCGGGGTTCAGGGTCCAGAGGCCAGGCAAGCAGCCCTCTTGGAAGTACCCTCCCAGGGGGCTGCCCAAGCCCACTCTCCCTCTCCCACACAAACACGGCTTTCACTGGGCTCTGGAAACCCGAGACCATGCAAATCCAAGAAGATGAAATTGTGTGGGTCTGGGCCCCGGCTCCAGGCGGAGACTCAGCAGCGGAGGGGCCCAGCCTCGGAGGGAACTCAATGAATTTGTCAGGGAACTGAAAACAGATGATTTCAATCAGCAGGGAAAAAAATGACTTCATGGCCACAGTTGACTGAAGGAGGCAGAGTGTGGCCGCCAGGCCCTGCCCGGGAGGCGCTTGCAGAAAGCCTGGCCTGTGCCGCAGCCTGGGCTGGGGTCTGCCCGAGAGGCCAGCGCTGCACGGCCGGGGCAGGACGGGCACCACGAGGCACAGAGCTGGCCGCGCCCCGCCCGCGCGTCCCCGGCGCCGCTTTCATGAATGGCTCGGCTTCCCAGCCCGCCGATTGGCTGGCGCCCTGGACGCGAGGCCCAATCAGCGGCCGCAGCTGCCCGGTCTCCGCTCCGCGGGGGGCGTCTGTCCTGCAGCATGAATGGTGCAGCGCGCAGCCGCCTACCTCGCAGCCCCTCCGCCAAGGGAGGAGGGGAAGGGGATTTTCTACTTTTTTATTCTGCGGACTTCTCAGGGTTCTGCTGCAATTGTGTCATTCTGAGGCTTGGCTGCAGCTCCTGACAATAGCCCCTGGGCTTCCCTGAGTCAAGATCTTGTGACAGTGAAAGGGCTTGCATGGTTAGAAATGAATTTCTTTGCCTATGGCCTGGGCTGGCTCCGGTTTCAGAGAAAGAACTGCAGCCTTCCAGCCCGAGCAGGCAGCGCTGCTGCGGACAGAGGCGGGGCTGCTGGAGGAGGGGGCCCTGACATGTGCAAACTGCTGGGAACTTCTCCCGCAGACCAGCGGGGGCTTGGTCCCCCTCCTGGTCACTGGCCTTGTCCTAGCTTCATATACCCGTGCATGTGAGGCCTGGGGCCCCGGCGAGGGAATCCAGTCATTCCACTGCATTTCCTGTTAAGTAGGAAAACATGTTCTGTTTTCTGATGTTATAAAGAAGGCATGTGTTTACAAATGCTCGTTAGGGAGAGCGTGGTTAATGGGCCTGCTTCCGGCCTCCCCTCCCCAGATGAAGTGATTGTGTGGCAGGCAGAGCAGGGCCTGCTCTTAGCGGGAGGACCCCGTGCTCGGGGGAAGTCCGACTCACCAGAATCCGGGCTCTAAAGCCATACAGAAAGCTCCTTTTTGAGGCCAGGGCGAGGAAGGCCTTGAATGCCAGAGCGAGGAGGTGTTTCAGCACCCTGGGGAGTCACGGAAGGTTGGTGCGAAGGAGAGTGGGATTTGGGGGCATTTCAGAGAATCAACTCCGCTAGCAGGGACTTCTCTGCCCATATGTGTATGCACCCTGTGTGTGGCCGGAGCTGGCACTTCGTGGAGCTTCCACATTAGGACCGTGCAAACTGCTTTCTGCAAGTCGCGGCCATCCCTCTTGGTAGATGAGAAAACAGAGGTTCAGTGTCTTCTGCAAAAGGTCCCACAGTTTGGGAGCAGCAAGCCCAGGTGCACACCCGTTGTGCCACACGGCCACAGGGATGGATGCCAGGCCTCAGTGGCAAAATGCAGATGGATCGCTGAGCACCAGGCCCCACACCGAATCACTGCTGCAGGAGTTAGGATCGGAACTGGCGAGAAATGTTTGTTCCCAAATTTCCACGAGCCGGACTCTGGCCTCCCAGGGGGTGTGTGAGCCCTTGGGTGTGCAGCCGAGGCTGAGCCAGACAGACTTTTGTAAGTTTCCAGCTGTATCCTCTATTTCTGCCAGTTGTCGGCCAAAATGTCTGTTTTTATCTCCTAGCTCAGCAGTTTGGGAAACTTTTGGTCTTAGGGCCCATTTGCATCTTGGGGACCCCAGAGAGATTTTGTTTCACCTGTTGCTACTCACTGCACCAGAAATGAAAACACAGAAACATGGGAGACACGCACCTTGCCAAGCATACACTCCGTTAGCTGTCGGCGTGGCGGTGTCATCACGGGTCATGCACTGTACGCTCATGAGAGAATGAAAGGAAAATAGGCAATTCGTGTCTCAGCGTCTTCATGAAAATAATTTCGACCTCTCAGACCTCCCGAAACCACATTTGCTCTGCAGAGCGCGGTTTGAGCAGGGCCGTGGCTGCCCGGCTAAAATTTCGTTTTCCAGCCCTCCTTGTAGCTAGGTCTTTGGTGCCCTGGCCAATGGGCTGCGGGCTGTCCTCAGTGGTGCCGTCTGCACCTGGCGTGTGCAGCGTGACGGCTCCGTGGACAGAGGGGTACTGGGCAGTGGTCACATCCTGCCGCTGAGCAGCAAGCTCGGCCCTCCTCTCCCCCCTGCACAGGTGGGGGACAGACAAGGCGTGATGGGCCTTGTAGACAGGGCACCCTCAAGGGTGAAGGATCCTGGGTCGCCAGTCATGCCGCCATACTAGTGCTGGATGTCCTGCCTGGGCTCCTGGGAGAAAGAGAAACCAACAACCTGGCTTCTGCTACTATATTTTGGGCTCTCCTGTCACAGTAGCCCAGCCTGGTACATCGACCAGGTGCGACATCGCTCTTACGCACCTGCACCTGAGCCCTGGCTCCCTGCTTTTGTCATGTTTGCAAGAAGTGGCATGAGCTGTCCCTGTAAACTTTTGGGAGGAGTTGAGCCTTCAGCTGGAAATACCCAGTGACAAGTGAATTCCTTTAACACTCATTTATTGAGATATTATTGCCATGACTCAAACACAGTCCAGAAGAGGAATGTGAGGCCACAGCGGCTGGGGAGGAGGGACTGGGCTGTGTGAGAGTCCTGGGGCTGCTGTGCACATTGCCACACTCTGGGTGGTTTGATGCAACAGAGGCTCCCTCTGTCTCGGAGCTGGAGGCCAGAAGCCTGCGATCAGAGGCTGTGGGTTAGACCCTGTCCTGGGCCTCTCTCCAGCCTCTGGGGGCTCCAGCGATGCCGGCTGCTCCTGGGCTGTGGCCGCGTGGCTGCGCCCTCCGCCTCCGCCGTCGCGAGGCCGTGTTCGTGCGTCTCTCTGAGCAGAGCAGGCGGTGGGCGGCGAGCCCCGGGCTGCACACAGGTTCCCGGGGTCCTCGCTCCGCCCGGAGGCGGCTTTGTGCAGCTGACCCCTCTCTCCCCGGTCTCTCTGTGTCTCTCTTCTTAGACGGACACTTGTCCCTGGATTTAGGGCCCACCCCAGGCCGGGATGATCTCATCTGGCGATCCTCACCTTGATGACATGTGCAAAGACCCCTTTTGCAAACAAGTTCCGATGGGCAGGTTCCCCTTTGGGTGTGTGGAGTGGGGGGGCATGCAGCTCCTACGGGGCTCTAAGTGGAAGAGGTGGGCGGAAGGCACCACCAGTACAACTGGTAGGCTTCCCGGAGGAGGGGGTGCTGACTTGAGCCTTAAGGGGAGTCACTGCCAGGAGGAAGAGGAGTCCAGGTAGGGGATCAGAATGCACAAAGGTGTGGGGCCTTGACGGGCCCGGGGCATCCAGGGGGACAGTGGCAGGTCTCAGGGAGGGGACGAGGGGGGCTGAGTGTCTCAGAATGAGGCTGGGCGTTCAGAGGTGGGGCCTGAGGGCTCTGTCCCGCAGACCTGGAGCCAGCAGGGTTCTCCGGCTGGGAGCGAGAGGGCTCCCTGCAGGACGAGGGTGGGTAGTAGAGCCCTCAGCCCTCACGAGGTTCGGGAACACAGAGCTCGTCCTGGCAGTGGGTGCAAATGTGTGACATCCAAGGGGTGGAGGGGGAGCTGGAGCCGTGCGTGGTCCCTGGGAGGAAACTGGGGACCCAACGGTGGCCACACGGAAGACAGCATGAGATCTGGTTGGTCCACCTTGCTGTGTTCCCATGGAATGGAGGCAGCCACAAGGGGCAAGCGGCTTCCCCAGATGCAACGCCCAGTTCCCAAGGCGCCAGCGTGGATCTGGGGGCTGACGCATTTGTCCTCTGCTTTGTCCCCAGCTGTCACTCAGCTGCCAGGGCCCCCTGGGGGTGCCCATGCCCCACACCTCGCCTGTGCTGAGAACACCTCTCTGGCCCTGAGTAGCTGTCCCCCACTCCCTGTTCCCCACTCCCTGCCTAGGACAACAGGCTGTCGGGGCTGGGGGCAGGGCCACCCCACCCTCCAGGCCCTACCAGGGCCTCACCTTGGTCCTGGAGCTAACTGGCTGATCAGGGAACAAGAAGGGCCTTCAGTGCCTCTGCCTTGAGGT